TACTTAACTATAGTGCTTTAAAAGTAGATTGTTACAAGATTCAAGATCCCTGTATGTCCATTCCTGATCACATTTCATGCCTCGTCCCTTTTCCTTTGATAAGCACTCTGTATCTAAATGTCCTTCTCGATTTCAGCTACAAGATTACTTTATTCTATAAATTGATATGACTTAAGGGATTCACATTTTTCAGGATTACTGTGTTATCTGTAGATGCAAATCCCAAATATATTTTAATTTTTGTTTAGGTCATGTTTAGCTAGATGACTTTGTCATGTTGTCATCTTGCTGGGTAATGAACCAAACTAAATGCAGTATAAAATCTTCATTTGGAGAATAGTATATTGGTTTTTATTGTCAACCACTGAATTCTTATTCAAGATAATGACAGGTAGTGATACAATGATGGTGTTATATAAACTTTTACATCAGTTACTCTCTTTTTTTTATGGTTTGAATCTAGGTACAACCTATTAGGGTTGCCAGATCTGTTTCCTAGCGCAAATAGTTTGAAGTCTTCTGACCTATTTTTCTGGATGCTCCTTGGTGAATTCATTAATTGTATAGAAAAATGTATCCCATAGGAAATTGAGCTTCTAACTTTATTAAAACATGTATTTCTAATTTTCTCATGTTATATTCTATTCATGAGAGGACTGGTCTGTTAGTTCAGTGTCAGTAAACTGTTAATATTTCCCACTTCTTGATTTGGAAACTGAAGACCAATTTGAACCTATGGTGTGAAATGTAGTTGATTTTTTTGCTAGGAATTTGAGTCTCAGAACTTTACATTTTGTTGGGAATGATCATTACATTGACTTACTGCAATTGGTATAATGGTTATTTTCTTAAATGTATTAAATGTAGTTGTAAAAACAATTCTGTGTATTTTCTTTAGAGCTCAGTTCCCCAAAAATCATAAAAGCAGGAAAACTCAAGACAAAGAAATCCAACAAGGTATGTCTTTACGGGGAAATAGTTCTTAACTATGTCAATTTTGAAAATTGTTAGAAACTCTTCTTAGATTATTATAAATGTATTTTTCTTCTAATTGTGTAATTGATTTTAAAGTTAATACTCTAAAGAATTGTAGCATTTATTCAAGTCCCCATATGCCTTTGTTATCATGTGTATTGGTATTTAGTTAATGCCATTAAATAATGCTAGAAGTTAGATCATAAGACCAAAACATTCTTATTTCAAAGTGTTTGGAGAAACTTTGGGATTAATTTGGCAGATGCTTGTATATAACTGAATATAGGTGATTTTCTTAAACTGCTGTCATTTTGAGAAAATATTTTTTCTGCTTAAAACTTCGAAAGCCGATTTGCAGACATAACCTTATTTGTTACTTCCTTAGGCTAGTGATTTCAGCGATATGGCGAATTGGCCAACACCAAGTGAATTAGTCAACGCTGGAGTAAGTATTATTTTAAGGCTTTTTTTTAAGAAAAGGAAAATATTTGTATTTCAACATGCAGAATTTTACTTAAAATGTAAAGAATTGTTGCCTGGGGGGACAGGTTTAAAGACTTGATTCATCAATAAGATTATTTTATTGCCAGTTTAACTTGCAGTCATCCTTTCCAGTATTAGTAATGAACTTGATGTCTTCAGCTTTACCCATGGTAACCTTTCCTTATTGTTTCTTTAACTTAATATGTGTAGTATGAACAGATATTACAAATTATAATCATTTTGTGTTTTTATAAAATCATATACATTGATGAAGAGGTGCTGAAAACTCAGTAGCTACCCTCTTTTATAGTTTTGCCCACTTTTCAGATACCTGATTTCATTCATTACATTTCCTTCATCTGTTTGTGTTCTTATGAGGTAAACTAATGTTTGGAAGAGGGGAAGTATACCTGACAGTCATCTTTCTGTAATGCCTACAATAAGGAGATCAATTTTTAATATCTAATCAAGGCCCATTTTGTGTTTCAGAATTTGTGCCGTATGTTCATGTTTTCTTTTTGTAGTTTTTTCAGTGTATGTTGAATGGCTAACTTTATGTGCATGTCTATACTGTATGTGCATATATATCAGATCAGGAAGTGTGCAGTGAATGGGTTTTTAATTTTAACTATGAAAGCTCAGAAAGATGGCTCTAAAATATCAAGATACCTGTATGGTTATGTGGTTACATGTTTTCACTTGACACTGTACCCTTTGTAATTTGTGCAGTATTATTGGTGTGTAATTCTAGATAAGTTGGACAATTTAATTGATGTATAAATGACACACAATGTATTGAAATAGAAATACATATATAAAGTATATAGTTTGATAAGTTTTGACCTGTGCATACCTGTGAAACCATCACCACAATCAAGATAATGAACTTAACCATTACCCCCCAAAGTTTCCTCTTATTCCTTTGTACTGTAATTCTCCCTGTCTCATTCACCCTCACCATCTGAAACAACCACTGAAATGTTTTCTGTCACTATAAATTAATTTGCATTTTCTAGAATTTTATATATGTGGAAGCATACAGTGGGTACTTTTTTTTTCTAGCTTTTACTCAGCATGATTATTTTGAGATTTATTCATGTTGTGTGTTATCAGCGCATTCCTTTTTGTTACTGAGTAGTATTCTGTTGTATAGATGTAACACAGTTTGTCCATTCACCTATTGTTAATGGACATTTGGGTTGATTCTGGTTTTGGCTATTACAAATAAAACTGCCATATGTACATTTTTGTACAAAATTTTGCATGGATGTATGCTTTCTTTTTTGGCGGTAAATAACTAGGCTGGATCATATGGTAGCTATTTGTTTAGTTTTTAAAGAAATTGCCAAATTTGCACTCCCAGCAGCACTGTATGAGAATTCCACTTACTCCATATCCTTACTCTTAATATGGTCAGTTTTTTAAAAATTTCAGCCATTCTAATAAGTGTGTAGTGGTATTTGCATTGTAGCTTTAATTTGCATTTCTCTAATGATGTTGAGCATCTTTTCATATGTATTTGCCATCAGTATGTCTTTTTGTTGCAGTATCTGATCAAGCTTGCCCATATTTTAAAAAATGGAGTTATTACTGAGTTTTGAGTTAATTACGTATTTTAGATACAAGTTCTTTATCAAATACTTAGCAAATTTTTTTCAGTCTGCAGCTTGACTTTTAGCAATGGCTTTTGAAAAGTGGTTCTTTATTTTTGATAAAAATTTTGTCATTTCTTTTGTAATATTTATGTAAGCTATATTACAAATTTTGAAGTATGTTAGTGAAAATGTTAATGAAAATTATTTCATTCAGAAAACCATTTTTGCAGTGTCAGAGTGTCATCAGCCAAGGAAATAAGAAACTACAAAATAGAAAAGAAAAAGAAGAAAAGGTTGAAAAGAGAAGTAACAGTGAGAGCAAAGAAAACAGGGAAACAAAATTAGATGGTCCTGGTGAAAATGTCAGTGAGGATGAGGCTCAGTCGAGTAATCAACGAAAGAGAGGTCAGTTTATCTATATCTTCATTTTGATTTTAAGTTTTTGAAGAAAGTTGTTGTAATGAAGAATTGTATTTATTCAATTGAAAATCAAAAACTTGTATTTTGTATTTCTTCAGGATACATGATCTTCAGAGGTAACTGATTTGCTTTCATAACACGTCTGAACTATTAGGCTTTCCTTTTTGCATTTAACTTGTATTCTATGCAAGAAAATGGAATGAAGTTCCATTATATGGTTGGACATATATTCTTGGAAGGTTGTGTGATAACTATTCTTTTAAATCTTCATTGGAACTGCTCTCTGTATTTAGGGAGTACTGAGAAAATTAAATATTTTTCTAAGAGAAAAATGAGAACAATTTTAGTCAACTTTTTTCCTCATTGCATTCCCCTGTAAAAATTATACTTTGGAGGAATAAAAATATTTTCTTCGTATTCTTTTCCATTTTTTCCTGAAATTTTCATGTTTCTAGGGGCAGATTATGATTTATCTGCTTTGTAAAAGCCTTTATATGCTCATTCAGTGTCTAGGTAAAAGCCTGGATATGCTCATGCTCATTCAGAGTCTAGGTAAAAGTGTCTTCAGGGACTGCTAGGCAGAAAAGGGCTTTAAATTGTCAGAAGGTCAGTGGCTAAAGAAAGATGAGCTTTGAGCAGAGTAGCAGGAGATGATGTTGTAAACATAGGCAAGGACCATGGTATACAGGGCCTTGGTAACTTGGAATTAGGATGTTATTTTGAGTGCCATGGAAAACTATTGAACCATTTAGTCCATGGAAGTGGTAATGGCACATTGAATGGTATAGTAGTTGCCAGCCTACTTCTTTAATACTAGAACTAACAATCTACCATATATTGAGCACTTACTTGAATAGTTTGTCTTTTTAATATCTAATCCTTAACTGCAGTAGGTTTTAAGCAGTAGGCTTACTTCATACAATGAACAAAGGCTGATTGCTCAAAAGTGACAATAAGACAACTTAAATGGGTGTTAGAAAAATTTCTTCCCATTTCTTAACCACTTTGTCACTTACCTTTTTCTTTGTCATTGACCTTTTTAGTCAACACTAAAGCTAGATATTTTGTAGTAAGAGTAATTCAAATAAGGCATGAAACGATTTCCTAGAGCACACATTTTTTACTTCAAAATAAGAGCTTATTTATGCCAGGGAATTTCACTGATAGAATTTATAGAGTAGGCTTAAGAGTTCTTAGATATTTGATATTCTCTTTTCCTCATCTGATCCATTGTTAATAGGATTTGTAGGCTATCAGTACTGTAGTCAAACACTAATATTCTTTTTCCATTAATTACCTTGACAGTTTTTTCTCTGTCCCATGAGTCTTTGTTTTGGTAGAAAATATAGATTGAGCAAAATACTGAACATTTTGAAACCTTAACTATGGAATCAGTGAACAGGTAATCTCCAGAATTTTACTATAGCATAGCCATAAAAATTAGTTACATTGTCATTTAGTCATCAAGAAAAGTTAAATTGCTTGTCTTTTTTCTTAAGTTAGGAAGATGTGCAATAACTGTAAAAAAAAAAAAAAAATTCTGTCAAATTAGACAAATTTTATACTTATCACTTTTAGATTTTGAGAAACTTCATTATTAGTGATGTTGGATAAATTAA